TTGGCTTGGGCAACAGTGTGAAAGGTGATGTGATTCATCCAGCTAGAAATACAAGATGAGAAGGAGGTAGGTGTAAGGAGAAAGAGTGGGGAAATAACGTGTTTATGGTTTTACTTTATCATCGTCATCATCATCATCATTGTAACAATACTTACAACAGTACAATATCAGCTGAAATTATGCTATCATGTATGTATCTATTTATGTGGTCACTGTCAGCAAACTTCACAAGGGCAAAGGACATCATCTTATTCACTAGAACCTGGGAACGCTGCACACAAGTTCCTTCACCCAATAACATTAGAGGTTCTATTTTGTACCCAAGTACAACTGAGACCTCTCTGAGAATTGCCTGGTGGTTAGCTGGGGCAGGGAGAGCTCATGGCGCTCAGGAGATGAGAGAAGGCTTACTCACACTCAGCAGGAAGAAGGTTATTCCGTGGTCATAACTTAGTAAACTTCAAAGATGCTATTTGAAAAGGTTGCTGATGGAATACATTTTAAAAGGATTACTGTATGTATGCAGTAAAACATGAAGGGGATGTTTTGTTGATTTCAACTTTTTTCTCAAACCACTGAAAAGCAGCATTGTCTCGTATGGAAGGGCTGAATTTTCTCATCAATCTCTAGTGCCTAGAACAATGCCTGGAACGTGGTTGGTGCTCAAGCGATATTTGTTTATTTTTGTGTGAGCTAGGCACTGTTCTAAGGACACAAATTCTTACAGCACTATTTTGAGGTTTTAATTATTCCGACTTTAAGAATGAGAAAACAGGCTGAGAAATCCCACAATTCAAACTCAGATCTGTCTGGCTAAAAAGCCTATTATTTTAATCATTCTATTACTGAATTTGTGGGATGTGTGGAACATCCAAGTGCTAATATCTAGTAGACAGTTGAGAATATGGGTCTGAGTTCAAGACAAAAATCTAGCCTATAGATACACTTTTCAAAACCATTAGCATTTAAATGTCATTTGACACTAAGTGGGTAAAATAATGTTACCGAGGCAGTGACTTTCAGACGTATTGACTATAGTCAGGACTAGATTTTTTTTTAATTATTTTTTTTTTTTGCAGACACCTACTAAACACACAGACACACACAGACACACAGGTCTCCTTTTACAATACTTACACCTATTAAATGTGATAAATTCTGTTGTTTTCTATTCCATTTTCTTCTATGCAATTTGATTTCGTTTAAAAATGCTACTTGCAACCCATGAGACTGATGACATGAGCCATCAGTAGGTTGTCCTCTGCAGTTTGGAAAGCACTGCCTTTGGTAATTTGTAGTAAAGAAGCCATGAACTGGCAACCCACCGGCCATTTCTGGCATGGAGATGTATTCTCTTTGGCATGCTATTTCTGGCATGTAGATGTGTTATCCTCGAGCAGATTTTTAAACATCAGAGATTTCAAATGAAAGCCTGAATTTCAGATTGTCTTGATAAATGGAAAAAAAATATTGCTAATGGTTATATTACCTATTGGCTGACATTGGCTGAAGCTGAGAAACAGCTGCTTCCTGTTTTCCATAGACACATGTACTCCTTCTTATCTTTCTTATCTCCCTGACATTGAATACCAGTTACCATTTAAGATTATGCTTGTATTTATTTTCTGTTGTTGTTGTGGTTGTTGTTTTTCTAAGAGAAAAGGTATTTCTTTACTATATCAAAGATGGAAAAACTAAAGAGTAAGAGAGCCACATAATTTTTCTTTCCTACCACCTGCTTCATTTATTCATGTTATCTACAGATCTCTGTTATCACTTGGGTTTGTGAGTCACAGTCTAGAGTGTTAAAAGAGAGAGCCAAAGACAGGAGGCTGGTAAGAAACACAAGAAAAGGGAGAAAAAAGAGTCCTAGAAAAATACGAAGAAGGAATTACCAGAGGGTTTAAGAGAAAATCCATAAGAATAGGACACCAGGAGTTAAGAGCAGCCAGTTTAGGCTTTATGGTATTTTTAATGTCAAAGGCATTTGTTGATCTACTTGGCAAAAACTGTCAAAGGAGATTCTCTTCTCTTTAGATAATTCAACTCAGTATCTCACCCCCAAAGGCAGGAAGATACAAAAATAAAGGATTTTAGCAATGGGGACCTGTATTAGTGTGCTAGGGTTTAATAAAAATATTATCATGTCACACTAATAAAAATATTATCATCTTACACTTTATGTTAGAGGATGAAGATGTTGAATGCAGTTAGCCAGATATTATTTTGGTGATGGTTTTTTGATTGAGTGAGAAAATGGTTCTTGCACATGCACTGCTCTTTGAAATAGTTTTCATGAGACAGAGGTGGTAGTGGAAGCCCTTGACTCAGTGTGGATTGGGACTGAGCATTTTCACATAACTTTAGCCATCCATTTGAGTGTCTCAAATTACCCTACCAATGGATCCAGGAGCCTGGTACTATTACTGAGGTCAGAATTGTGACATGACAATATTTTTATTAAGCCTTAAGTCTGTACTAGCATTGGCTACCATCGTGGCATATCATTGAAGTGGGTATATGCCTTGGTCTGTTTGGGCTGCTGTAACAAAATACTATCAACTAGGTGGCTTATAGAAAGTAGACCTTTATTTCTCACAGTTCTGGAGTTTGGGAAGCCCAAGATGAAGGTGAAGGCATGGGGAGATTTGGTGTCTGGTGAGGACCCGCTTCTGGTTTATAGATGACACCTTCTCCCTGTGTCCTCACATGGTGGAAAGTACCAACGGTCTCTCTTGAGCCATTTTTTTTTTTTTTTTTTTTTGAGATGGAGTCTTGCTCTTGTCACCCAGGCTGGAGTGCAATGGCATGATCTTGGCTCACTGCAACCTCCGCCTCCCAAGTTCAAGTGATTCTCCTGCATCAGCCTCCTGAGTAACTGGGATTACAGACACCCACCATCATGCCCAGCTAATTTTTGTATTTTTAGTAAAGACGGGGTTTCACCATGTTGGCCAGTCTGGTCTTGAACTCCTGACCTCAGGTGATCCACCTTGGACCTTTTTTATAAGGGCACTAATTTGGTCCATGAGTGTTCCATCCTCCTGATCTAATCACTTCACAAAGGTTCTACCTCTTAATCTCATCACTTGTGGGTTAGAATTTCAGCATAAAAATTTGGGGGAATAGGGATCACAAACACTCAGATCATAATAGCATATAAGATGAGTTGAAGTCCTAGGAAAGAGGCTTTGAGAGAAGGAGTTAGTTTGCATAGGGAAATCATTTATAATCAGTATTGACCGAGGGTACTCCTTATAGTGGCTGGAATAATATGTCATTTGAATAAACTGGTGGTCTTCAATTTAGATTGCACCACCAAAGAATCAAAAGTTGCTCAAGAATTAACAACTGAATATCACATGAGACAATTTGAAGGAGGGAAACAAAATAAGCTCTGCTATAATTTTCAAAAAACGACTAAATTTTTAACACAAAAATAATTTCAAAAAGGATTTTCACCTTACCATTAGTCTTTTTCATTTAATAATAAAGGAAGGAGAAGAAACAAAAAGAAAAGATGGACTATTTTTGCCTAAACGTCATTCTTAGAAGCAGAGAAGTGTTTGCTTTTCTTCTGTTCCTTCAAATCCTAAGAGAGCAGTACAAGCTGGAGCTTCTCTGCCTTTTCATCTGCCAGGAAATAGCACACAAAGGCAAGGCTTCTCTTAGCAGGGCAGAAACATTTGTTTTCTTTTTTTCTATTCCTTGTTGAGCTGAGCCCTTAAATAGAAATCTACCCACTGTGCTTCTATTGTGTTGTGAGCACCGTGACTTCTGTTTATTCTTTATAGATCACATTTTCCATGTTTTACCATGTTAGCAAGTTAAAATGAATACATATTTTGAAGTGTTCACAAGTGGAAAATTTATAATTCTTTGGTTGTGACTAAAGGTTGAGTTGCTAAAATATCATAAAGGGAAATTTGCCTAGAATTAATATATGTAAAATACTCTGTGTTAAGTAGCCAGCCATAGCACACAAACTAATCAAATCTCCAGACCTGAGATTTTACAATAATTAAGATAATACTTATAGGTAATATATATTATAATGAGAATTTTATTTTTCTATGGAAGATTAGTCAAGTAATAGGAAAAAATTGCCAACATGACATGTAGGGCAAAAATGACTTATTAGTATCTGTCAGTCTAAACAGGGTCACTTTCCTACCTCAAAGTCATCTATCAAATAAATCCTTCTTCCCCCATGGAGGGAAATCAACTAGTTTAGCTGAGGTCTCTCCAATGTGAAGCAGCCAGCCAAGAGAAAAGGAGAGGATTCAGAAGCTAAGAGATACTTTACTTGGTCAAGTTGGCAGGAGAAGACACAATGAGAGAATGAGGAGCTATGCATGTTTAGGGAACTGGGAAAGAAATAAACAAATAGTAGCAGCTATTGTCTGGATGTGTCCCCTCCAAAATTTGGGTGTTGAAACATAATGGCCAATATAATGGTGTTAAGGGACCTTTAAGAGGTGATTAGGTCAACGAGGGTTCCTTCTCTTGTGAATGGGATTAAGGCCCTTATAAAAGAGGCGTCATTAATGCTTTGGCTCCCTCACCCTTCTGCCTTCTACCATGTGAGGACAACACATTCCTCCCCTTGAAGGATGCAGCAACAGGTGCCATCTTGGAAAGAGAGAGCAGTGCTCACCAGATGACCAAACCTGTTGACACCTTGATCTTGGACTTCCTAGCTTCCTGCACTGTGAAAATAAATGCCTGTTTTTCACAAATTAGCCAATCTCAAGTATTTTTGTTACAGCAGCACAAAACTAAGAGAGTAGCTCTTGTGATTAGAATGGATGTGGCTTTCAATTGCAATAGGGTCTTACTACTTACATAACAATACTATTGATATTTTATATGTATTTTGCATACCTTTCATTTGAGACCTATTCATGAATTATCCTATATGATCCTCAGAAAAACTTGGTGAGGAAGTAATAGAGGGCTCTATTAATAATAATAACTTGGTTATTATTCTCATTTTACAGGTAAAGAAACCAAGACTTAGAGACCTGTCCATAGTCGTTTAGTGAGGGAATGCAACATCTGGGTCTAGGGTCCAAATCTATCTCTGCTGTGAAGAGGAACTCATACAGGAGATCTACTTGATTACAAATTCTTGGCCCTGAAGTGGAGGTAAGTCTTTTTATCAGCCTTTCAAAGCTGCCTATAGATACCTAGGCATCTATAGGATTTTACAGAGATCATTAGGATTTTATAGAGCTCTTCATATTTTATGGGGCTAATTTTAGCCAATCTTGAGATTGTGGTTATGTTTCTGTAACTATTGGTTAACTCAGGAAATATCATAGATTATAAGATATTTAACTATATGTTAAATTATAAGATATTTAATATATGATTGTTGAATAAATGAAAAGATCTGTGATGAGCATAGCAAGATCAATGTATTTCTAGGTTATAGCTAATGATAAAATATATAAAGCAATGATTTGCTTTTCACATTTTATGATTTTATAGTGACAAGACCTATTTTTTATTACAAAAGCCTCAAAGGCCAGAAGCTTTTTTTTTTTTTTTTTTTTAAATAATTTAACCTCAAGTAGGGTTGTGGACATGTGGCCAAGATTGTTGCTGCAGGAAACTTAAGCATAGAGAAAAGGAAATAAAGAAGCAAGGACAGTGAGAGTTCAGTCTAGTGGTGAAAGCACCAGCATCCAGCAACAGCTATGGTGGTGGCAACAGTAGTAGGGTGTCTGGTGGCCACAACTAGCAGGGCTAAAGGCAGCATTGTTCTAGCCAGACTTTTCCTCTGTGTCATTTCAGTTGTGGTTCTGGCCTTCTAAGGGCTTTGTTCCTCCCCATTTTCCAAGGCTCTTTCTCTAGTTATTCTGGCTATTCTGTGAGCCACCTGATATTCTTCTGTTTTAGTTAGGATTCTACAGAGAAATAACCAATAGGACCTGCATATATAAAGAGATTCAATATTTGGTATAGGGCATTGGCTTACATGACTACGGAGTCTGTAAAATCTCAAGATCTGCAGGGCAAGTGGACAAGCTGGAGACCTGGGAGATCCCATGATATAGTTCCAGTCTGAAGCCTGGCAGGCTGGGGACCCAGGAAGAACCAATATTTCAGTTCAAGTTTCAAAAAAAGGAAAAAAGCCAATATCCAGTTCAAATGCAGTCAGGAAAGCAGAATTTTATCTTACTCCAGGGAGGTCAGCCTTTCATTCTATTCAGACCTTTCATCAACCAATTGAATGGTTGCCCATAGAAATTGAGGGGGAGCAATCTGTTTTACTCAGTCTACCAATTTAAATGTTAACCTCATCCAAAACCACAATTACAGAAATACGCAGAATAATGTTTGGCCCAATATCTTGGCACTCAGTAACCCAATCAAGTTGACACATAAAATTAAACATGTTTTTCAATAGGTACTTTTCCGCTCCAATTCACTGGAGTTAGTTTCTGTTGCTCGTAAATAAGAAAACTTCAGTTGATTAGTTGCACAGACGAATGTTTATATAAAAAATATTTACAAACCAAACAGTATGTGTTAGTCACTATCCTAGATGTCAAGAATACTGCAGTGAACACAATCAACAGGATATTTGCCTTTATGCAGATGAAATTTTTAGTGAAGAGTAGAAAACAATAAACAAGAAAATAAATGAATAAAATAATGCCAGCTGGTAATAAGTGGTATGGAAACAACGACAGGCCTACAGAAAGTAACAGGGAGCAGGGGTGTTCCACGTTGGATTAGAAAGTTAGAAGATCTCTCTGAAAAGATATTTGAGCCAAGACCTGAATGCAAAAAAGAAGGCAGATGTGTTAAAGTCTAGGAGCAAGGCATTCCTGGCAGAGAGAATAGCAAGGCCAAGTTCTTGCAGTGGGAATGAACTTGGTGTGATTGAACAACAGTAAAAAGGAGAGTATAGTTACAGCCCAGTGAGGAAAGGGTTAATAGTGCCAGATGAAGTCAGATGTGGAAGAGGTTCAGATTTTATATTAATTACAATTGGTTGCCATTTGAGTGTTTTAACTAAGGAAGGAAGAGAAGCTGATTTGCATTTTATAAAGATGGCTCCCGAGCTCTGTGGAGAATGAATCATAAAATGACCAGAGTGCAAGCCTGCAGATCTGTTGGGTTCCTGTTACAGGAGTCCAGGTGAGAAAGGACAAACAAAGGATATTTTTTCAGGGCCTCTAAGTTGTGCTAGATGGAGAAGTTCAGCAGAGACGAAGTGAAGAAAGCATATGCCTTGAGCTGCTTATCTTAGAAAAACAGTTTATATCAATCAAAGGCACCATGAGCCAGGGCCACCATGTAAATGCTTGAATAAACATTTCCATTTTCAAGCAATTGAGAAGGTCAAGGCAGTTTCTGTGTTCAATTTTGTGTGATTTTCCTTTCCATTCAGCTGAAAAGAATAAGCTGATAAGCATCACTGCTCAATTTTTGAGCTTTGTGATAGAGAGAAATAAAATATTATACCCAAAAAAAGCAAAATTCATTTTCTTTACACTGAGATATTTTCTTCGTTTATTCAAGGACTCATGACAAAGAATGTTTGCTTGAGATCATAAAAATATAGGCCAGTGCAAAGTCATTGTACAGTTGTCTTAATCCAGACTATTTATATACTAGTGTATAGCTCTGTTTTATGTATATTTAAACAAGCCAGATATTTTGGAAACATGGTGCCTGGTGTTCCCTTAAGTTCTTTATAATCAACATCAAATAAAAAATTATCAACATCAAATATTGATTACATATCACTATTTATTGATTCTATTAATACCTCTGAAGCTATTTCTAATTTTAAATAAAATTAGAGCATGCAGGAACAGTTTATGTAATAGTTCAATGAGAAGTGTTCTAATTTTGCCTTTCACGGCAACATGGAAATTTTTGTCCTTTACAAACTCCTGATAGGGAAGAAAATGGATAACTAGGATATTATCGAATTAATAAATTGACTCACTTTAGTCATCTCCATGTACAACTTCTAAATGAAATGATTTGTAAGATCAGTCAAATAATTGTCAATTCAAGTAACATTTTTTTCAGTCCTCTTTGAGCAAATTATTTCCTGTCTTTATTAATTATGGAGATGTATTTTTGTATTCAGCTGTGCCAAATGTCATTTTAAATTTACCTTATATGGAGGAGGCCTTATGGAATCAAGTTTTAATTGATCATAGTGGAAATACTGGCAACATTAACTTGATCTTAGGCAAAAGATTAAGGCTGAGCGATCAAAAGATAAGATCTAGGTATCAGTAAGGGGACATGATGAAACTTTTATGGAAAATCTACTCTATATTAGACATCATGCCAGGCGCATTAACTATGTAAACTCAATTTCAGACAAGAGTCTTGCAAAGAAGGGTATTTAGCCTGTAGATAAGAAAGCTCCAAATATGACATATTTAATAGGTAGTTAAATCAAGACTGAAATCTATGTCTAGGCCGGGTGCAGTAGCTCATGCCCGTAATCCCAGCACTGTGGGAAGCTGAGGCAGGTGAATCACTTGAGCCCAGGAGTTCAAGACCAGGCTGGACAACATGGCAAAATCCTAACTCTAAAAAAAATAAAGTACAAAAATTAGCTGGGTGTGGTGGTGCTTGCCTGTGGTCCCAGCTACTGGGAAGGCTAAGGTGAGAGGCTTGCTTGAGCCGGGGAGGTCAAGGCTCCAGTGAGCCATAATCACCCCACTGTACTCCAACCTGGGTGACAGAGTAAGACTGAATTTAAAAAATAATAATTTTTTTATTTAAGAAAAAAAATCTATGTCTATCCAGCTCCAAATAGTTTGTGGGTTTTTTTACGTATTCTTAATTTTCTTGCAATGTTTCCTAAAGTGATAAGTCAAAGTTTTTCCTTTTGTTCTATTTAACCCCTACTCTAGTTGTAACCCTTACACCATAGATAAGTTCATCAGATCCGTAAAAAGACTATTGTTTTTCTTCTGGTTATAAAGTGATATATACTCGCAGAAAACTTGGGGAAAACAAAGGAATAAAAAAATCGCATATGTTCTTAGCGACATAAAAATAACCTCTGTATTAGTCTGTTCTCATGCTGCTAGTAAAGACATACCTGAGACTGGGTAATTTATAAAGGAAGAGGCATAATTGATTCACAGTTCCGCAGGGCTGGAGAGGCCGCAGGAAACTTACAATCATGGTAGAAGGGGAAGCAAGCATATCTTTCTTCACATGGCAGCAGCAAGAAGAAGTGCTGAGCAAAATGGGGAAGAATGCCTTATAAAACCATCAGATCTCATGGGAGCTCACTTACTATCACGAGAACAGCATGAGGGTAACTGCACCTGTGATTAAATTACCTCCCACCGGGTCCCTCCCACAACACGTGGGGATTGTGGGAACTACAATTTAAGATGAGATTTGCGGGGGGGCACAGCCAAACCATATCAATCTCTGTCAATGTTTTGATGTCTTTAACGTCTTAATCTTCAGTGTTTTCCACAAAAGTGGGGTTATGTTTCATCTCTAGTTTTGTATTCTATGCATACATAATATCGTATCATCTTTTTTGTATGGCTAAATATTCTTTGAATTATTTCAATTATTTATATTATTTATATGGTGCAAACCACTCTTTTGAATGAATATATTAGGATATATTTAATAATTTTCCCACGTATGAATAATTTTAATTGATTCTTATTTTTAATCATATTGTAATAGGCATCCCCATTTGCCCACATTTCTGATTATTTGCTAAAAATACATTTCTATAAGTAGAATAACTATTTAAAATATACATTTTAAAGGGCTTTTGATACATCTTGCCAGATTTCTCCTATTGCTCTCTATAAAAGTTGTAACAATTTGTTTCCTTACCAGTCTTCAATGCACTATACCCACAAAATAATGGCAAATTTGAGTAGCAAAACTGGCATCTAATTGTGGTTTTAATTTGAATTTGTAGCTAATAGTGCAGTTGGATTTTTTGGGTTTTTTTGACGAAGTCTCTGTCGCCCATGCCGGAGTGCAGTGGCGCAATCTCGGCTCACAGCAAGCTCTGCCTCCTGGGTTCACGCCATTCTCCTGCCTCAGCCTCCGAAGTAGCTGGGATTACAGGCGTGCACCACCATGCCAACCAATTTTTGTATTTTTAGTAGAGATGGGGTTTC